TCCCTTCCCTCTCTCCACGTGGACCACCAAGCTGGGCTGAGGTGAGCAATGCTATCATGTATTGTGTCTGACTGCAGTATTGTAATATCTCTCATGTTCTCGATGACTTTAATACTTATATATCTCAACCGTACGATGTGCATTATTGAACCCAGAAGTAGTATTACTGAACCAGTGAGTTCTAGTAGCGAGTGGGGTGGCACCCCACTCCCCCTCACCCCCTGCTCGCCATTTTACTACTACTGGTGTGTTTATTAGGTACTATACTGCGCCCAGAGGTCTGCACCCAGCCCTCCCCCTCACTCACCTAGGTGTGTTCTGGGTGGTCATGGGGATTTTGTGGTGCACAAGCATCACTGGGAAAGAACCTATTAAAGGAAAAGCCTTGGCAATGGGAACAACCAAGGGCAAACTAACTTAGTGAGAAGACAAGATCTTCAGCCTTAAGACGTTGTAATTAGCATACAGTTGGGTCCAAGAAGGGTTCTCTCTTGAGCCACAGATAAGAGTCAAAGAATTATCCTAGGCGAAAGGTACATTATACTTCCAGTTTTACAAAACATCAAGGCACATTAAGGTAGAGCCTAGCATTTTATTTGACCTTCATTAAACTGCTGCAATTGAGAACGAGACATACGTAATACACCTCCCAGAGCAGATCCTGAGGCTCTGTCTGCTTAGGACAAGGAGTCAATGGAGGAGCATGTCAACAAGCTGGCTTCTCTGTAGCACACCGGCCAAGTCAGCCTCTCCATGGCCAGCTGCCCCAGCTCTGCCCTCCCTTCGGTGAACACCAGCAGACCCCTGTAGGTCTAACCCAAGGCTTTTCTGTAGGACACCTCGGCCTACCTGGGAATGCTGGAAGCATGTTGTTAAAGGAATCCTGGTGTTGAGGGGGGGAAAGATCTTTTAAGAATCTCCCATCTGAGGTGAGGGCTTCTCTGTACTTAAGCCATACCCCCAGTACAATAAATAAGCAATGAGGAGATTATGAAGGGATTTCCTCCTCCCTCCCTGCCACTCAACCTTCTAACATCCTAATTGCATTGACAAGGATCACCTGTGCTCACTAAACGCATTTTCATGGTGAACACACACCAGGGACAGAGCAAGCCAAATCACAGCCAGGCCCCACCAGAGGACAATTCACATCACGGATCACAGAGGGGCAGCAGGTGACGAGGGGCTGACGGAGGACAGGAAAAGCATAGGAAGGGGGGGCGGTCTTTCCCTCAGAGCTTGCAGGCTTCTCTGTAGCCCACGCCAGCAAGTCTGGGAAGAAAAGGCTAACACTTTTTAATATTTAAGCTTTTGGGGCACTTCCCAGGGGAGGCCTTCCCTGCCAAAGTGGCCATAGACTGCAGTCCTCTGATAAATTGGCTTCTTCAGATCCAGATCCCTAGAACATACAAGTCCATAACTTAATACGTAGCATTCATTTGAAAGAAAGCACAACAATCAGCAAGACCCGTGTTCAAGAGCTCTGGTAAGTGGGGTCAGTTCTCTGCGTTAAGGTAGGAAACAGTCGGGACAAAAGTGTGTTACTTCCCTGGTGGCCAAACTCCATGTACAGTCTTTTATCAGTAACTATAGTAGTTTTTCCATCACTTGTTCAACAAATACGAAACTTGTCAGTGTCCTGAGAATTCCAAATGCCAAAAGCTCATCTGAGACCATGATATATGTTACAGTCTCCCATTGTCCCAACCAAAATGTTCTTCAATAGCCTAGACCACATCATTTAGCCTGCACATTTTCCCTAAGGAAACATCCTGAAGTAGTTAAAAGCCAACTATCACACTTAGGGATTGCTGGGTAAACTTAAGCCATGGAACAGGATTTTAGATTTTTTAAAAATAAGCTTAAAGGTTCAATAAAGATGATTTAAAGATATCCCCTTATGCACTTAGAAGTTTAAAAACATGTTTTCCCCCCAATGAAAAAGCACATTTCCCTCCTAGATGAGATGTTTCACCAGCAACAGACTTTACCATCTTTACCTGACAATGACTCCAGGGCGGAGGTCAAAATTCTTCTTCACTATATCTACTAGCTCTCTCACACTCTTCTGAGAGGTGCCGTAATGGGAAATGGAAATCGATAATGGGTGAGCAACTCCAATAGCATAAGAGACCTAGAGGAATTCAGATATCACAAGTCAGTGATCCAAAGACCCACACACTTCCGCAATAAGGTGTATTACCCCCCTCCGCTGCTGCGCTTACATGACATGAATTTCCCTGATGACAGAGCAGAATACACACCTCCACGAGAACCCTTCGGCACAGGCCTCCTTTGACGAGGGACTTTGCCACCCAACGGGCAGCATAAGCAGCTGAGCGGTCCACCTTGGTACAATCCTTTCCTGAAAAGGCGCCTCCTCCGTGATCTCCCCAGCCTCCGTAAGTGTCCACAATGATCTTCCGGCCAGTCAAACCAGCGCTAGCCTGAAAATGCAGGCTTAAGTCATGTTAGGGATTGCCATCAGATGGTTCTAGATTAAGTTGCTAAATGCTCATTGTATGTCACTGAGCAAGTTGGCCTCAAGAATCACAATGTGGAGTCCAGAAGGCTGAGGAGCTAAGTGATGGCCAACACTGCAAGGCACTCTCACATCCTGAGGCCTTACCTGAGGGCCCCCAGTAACAAATCTGCCACTAGGCTGTAGGTGGTAGATTGTGTCCTCATCAAGATACTTTGTAGGAACAACGGCTTTAATGACTTTCTCCTTCAGGGCCTCCCTCATCTCATCCAGAGAAACATCTTCATCGTGCTGAACAGATATACCAATTGCGTGGACTCTGATGGGCAGCATAGCACCTCGATCCTGCATGTACTGCACAGTCACCTGGAAGAACACACACATCCCATGATTTCACACCAAACGAAAGCTTTGTGCTCAGGTCCTTCCCCTACTTACAGCCTAAGGAGAGTACATTAGAACACCATGCCCACTCCCCCCAGCAGGTACTCTACCATAATTCAGTGAAACAACCTGACCTTCTGTGTCAGTCTAAGGACAGCGTCTTCATAGAACCCCACAGGGAGCTCCAAGCACCACTTACCTGAGTTTTAGAATCTGGGCATAACCAAGGTAAGGTGCCATTGCGACGTAGTTCAGCAAGTTTGGCATTGAGCTGGTGGGCTAAGACAAGGGTTAAAGGCATACATTCCTCCGTTTCATCAGTGGCATAACCATACATCATGCCCTAAAAAAGGGAAGTCATTGATATTGGTCAATCTGAGCTTCAATATTTAATGTCACAAGAACTGCAAGTAGAAGCCAAAATCAAATACCTGGTCTCCTCCACCTATCTCCTCCTCGTTCCGGTGAAGGTGAACCCCTTGAGCTATATCTGGGGACTGTTGTTCCAAAGCTACCTGAACATTACAAGTCTTGTAGTCAAACCCTTTAAGCAGAGAAAGGCTTTGTTTCAGAATGGAGACTGTACACTAAAATTATAGAGTTCAAGCTAACGAGTAGCGAGCACATTCTAGATGTAGTGAGCTGAAGAGCATAAGCTTTAGACAAAGCAACTCACTACAACTCACCTTTGGAAGAATCATCATAGCCAATGTGCTTAATGGTTTCACGAACCACTTTTTGGTAGTCAACAGCAGCTCTGGATGTAATTTCCCCAACAAGAAGAATCATTCCAGCTTCAATGTAAGTTTCTAAAAGATGTTCAGAACGTTTACTAATATATAAAGTAGCCGTTCGCTTTTCATCATTACAAAGCACATGGTCTGAACTTACCACAAGCCACTTTGGCCTCGGGGTCCTGCTGAAGGTGGGCGTCAAGGACAGCATCACTGATCTGGTCACAAATCTTATCTGAAAAAGTAACAGTGCACGCTCAATTCTTCAGTGTTTTGTTTTTCATTCTTAAGTAGCTCATGCTCCTCTGTAATCCTAAAGATTTACCTCTGGAGGTAATTCTTGCCTAATTATGGTCCTGAAATTCCGGAAGCCATTTGCCTGAAGTGCTGGATGTGACTTGAAAACTTGACAAGACCTTCATTGAGTTGCACAAGCCCGTCAGTTCTGCTAAGCCAGAACACCTTGCATGTCTAATACATCCTAACCCATTAGGGGAGGGCGGTTCAGAAGCGGGAACATTGGCACTACTCTCAAACTCAGTGCTCTCCAGTCAATTCTGGACTCAAGATACTCTAGGACAGGGCTCAACCGCTCTTGTTGGTTTCTGATACTTAACTCTTTCCAGGTGTGGGAAGCCCTCTCCTCTTGCTCAACAGCTGGTGGTTTGAAACTGCTGACCTTGTTCAGCATCCAAATGCAAGTCACACTCACACCAGGAGGCTCTTTAGAAGTTCAAAAGGTAACAAATGACCTGGTGTTTTTTTGGTAATCCATGATGACAAATGCACTTACATTCTATCCCCAACATTTATCATTTGAAACCTAGAAGTTGGGAATTTAGATTAGTTATAGTGTGGAAACCTTCAGAGTGCTGACATTCAGAGACCAATGTTTCCAGCCAACCATGATAATATAACATTATCCTGGAAAAGAAACTTTAGTTTGCATTATAAATACAACCAATCACAAGGCTGACTGTTCTTTTGCTCCTTAGCTTATCCATTTCTTAAGATTCAGGATGGTAACTTCTGAGAACAATAGCAACAAAGGTACAAATGTGCCTGACACAACAGATTTATGGAGTGTGCTAAAAGATATGTATGAGCCCCCCGATAAAATGCTTAAAAAATAATAAAAATCTCCTAAAACAAAATGAAAAACTAAAAATTTTAAGTGGTTAAAAAAAAAAAAGGATTGTAACTTCAAGACCATCCCAATGGTCTTAAATAATAGCACTCAGGGCAACATGACAATAAAGGTCAATTAATCAACATAAGGGGAAAAAATGTTATTGTTTTGTCTTAAGTAGTTCAAGAATAAACAACTCAGATTGCAAAATGCTCCCATCATTAACATTTAACGGATGCTTTATGAATGTTTTCCAAAGTTCTTAGCTGTCAATTAAAAATTGACAACTGGAAAAGAAAATTACCCCCAAATACAATTATCCCGAATGTTCTATAAGCAACCTTACCAAAAATCCAGGAAAATGTGTATTGCTCCCCAGCCAGTGGCTGGGCCTTCACCTGTGAGCTATCACCGAAGCCTGCGATTTCATGGTCAATTTTAAAAGGCCGGCTGAAAACTTGAATTCTCATTTGGGGGCAGGGGAGTGGATATCGATCTAATCAGCCAGCCTACCAAAATCCCCAGAATACCTGAGCTTCCGCAATTCTGCCCTCCTCAGGATGCTGGCTCCGCCCCTGCCTGCCACCCCCACCAGGGACAACCCACTGACTGCAGCACCATGGACCCCCAGTCATCACACGATGTGGTCCCGCGAACAAAGGACGGATACAGTGTCAATAGCACAGTGATGGATCTCTACGACCCGTGAGGTGATCTTCTCACGCCAAGATGGAAGGTGCCTGGAGTTAAGAAGAAGCGTCATGCGTTCACACAGAACGCGGATCTCCATGATGGCGGATCAGTGGACACAGAGCACGGAAGGCAAGGAGGAGGAAACCCTGGACTCGCTTAACGTCCCCAAGGCAGACCGGAACTCATCCCTTTCACCCAAGGGCCAAATAGGGGGCGCCTGCCCAAAGGCGCGCGGTACCTGGTGGTGCAGGGCCCCTCGCCGTCCCCGGGCCAGCAGAGCCAGGCCGCAGGGCACCACGAGGACGCAGCCGCTCTGCGCGCGCTCCAGGCCTTGGGGGGCAGGTGGGAGAGGGGAGACCAAGGCCTCCCGGCACGCGCTCCGCAGTCCTCGCCCTTCTCCTTTTCTAGAACCTTCCCCACGCCCAGGCCGTGTCCAGGCGCGCGGGCGGATGGGTGGAGCAGGGCAGAGTGGCGGCCGTGCGCCCGGCACTGGGGCGCCCGAGGGAGCCACCGCTCTCAGCACCCTCGACCCGGGAGGGCGCCCAGCGAGGCCGGCCGGCCCTGGCCGACTGCCGCCCTTGCCCTGAGTGCGGACCCGCGTCTCACCTGGGTGGCCTTCCCCCACGGACTCTGAGGTGTGTAGGAAGGTGTCCTCCTCGCGGAAGCCGGGGGGCTGCCCGTTCATGGTGGTGCGTGAACCTGGAGCGCAGGGAAAACGAGGCTGCGGAGACGGAGACGGATTCCACAAGAGCCTGTTGGGAGGCAGGGACCCAAAGACACCAAGGCTCCTGCAGCCCGCTATTTATAGAGGGACGGCCCCCACCCCTCCCACCTCTCTCCGCCGGGCCCCGCCCTCCGCACAAGTCAGTGTACCAGTCACATGGTGGGGGGATTGGGAGCAGCAGGGGCGGGCGCCTCACCTAGCCATCCCCCCAACGTTGGCCTTCTCTGAGTTGGCTTCTCTGACCTTGGATGTCGGGAGCTCTTCTCCAGAGGATCCAGCTATGATCCTTATCAGAAAGGAGGGGCCTAGCTTAGGGTTCGATGGTCTGATTGCCTTTGAAGGCAGATACCTTCAAGCAGCTGCCCTTTAAGAGTGTAGTAAGGACCCTGTGTTTCCCAACAGCACATTCAATTTGGCATTATCATGGGGGGAGGGCTATTGGGGGAGGGACTTTTACTTAGGAGAATGTGACTGGAACACATTCCAACTAACAAACTCCCCTCCACTGCAGCCCCGGCCTCCCAGACTCCTTAGCGTTTAGTGTGGAGTTTGTCCCCATCACTCTCCGCCCCGTTTTGAGTTTCCCTCACTGGTCCGCTCCTGTAGTCCTACCTGTAAGTGTGATGCATTGATCTGCCACCAGTTTCCTTTGCTGTTTCTCAGCAAACCCTTAGACACCATGAGGACCTCCTGCCAATGCTCCCCATCTTCTGAGGGATGCATCTTTGTCTTGTTTTTGTTTAAGTCTTAATAAATGTGCCCCTGACGTTAGAGTAGAGGTTTGGGTCTCTTTTGTACCCTAAAACACATCCCAGAATCCGGTCTTTAAAATTGGAGTAATAATACCATAATAGGATAGTTTGAAAAATGAAATGATGTCCAGTGTCAAGCGCATCATAAAAACAAAAATGTGAATGAAAAATTAATTGTACTGCTTGCAAACAATCCTCCAACATCTTCCTCTTGCTGTTCTCACAAACAAACAAACAAACAAACAAACAAACAAACAAAAGGAACCAACTTACTGCCATTGAGTCAATTCCAATGCACATCGACTCTACAGGGCAGGGCAGAACTGCCCCTGTGGGTTTCTGAGATTGGAACTCTCTGCAGGAGTTAGACTTTCTCCCTTGGAGTGGCTGGTGGTGTTGAACTACCTGACCTTGGCGTTAGCATTGCCCACAGAACCCTCTATGCTACCAGGGCTCCTGTCCACGTAAACACAGTGCCAAATCCCTACATAGCCTTTAAGACCTGCATGTGCATCAGCTGTTCCTTTTAAATCACCTTTGTGCCACTCTCCACCTCTTTCATTATTTCCTATTGGATTTCATTTGTAACAGGTAAATACATTAGAATCAAAGCAAAGCAGGCAGAACCATGGATTCTGTTGATGGTAAATCGAAAAGCACTGCTATAAGGGTCCCAGTCCACACATTAAAAACCAGACCCACAGACTGCATTGAGTCAGCTGCAACTCATATCGAGGGTTTCTTATCCTGTATATCTTTCTACCTCATCTTTCTCCCAAGTAGAGGATAGTGGGTTTGAACCACCAGTCTTGAGGCTAGCAACCTGATGCCCATTCCACAGTACCACCAAGGCTCCTTAGTTTGCCAATGCCTGTGGTTATGACAAATAAAATATTTTAAGTACTTGTATGCTGTGCAGTGAACGGTTGAAGACAATTTTTCTCAGTAATACGACAATCTTCATCTCCTTAGATCAACCAAACTGAACCTACTACCATCTAGACTGTTCCCATTCCTATTGACCATACCTAGGGTTTCCAAAACTGTAAAATTTTATGACAACAGTCAGTTTCAATTCTTTACCTCAGAGCTACTGCTGGGTTTGAACTATCAACCTTGTGGTTGATAATTCCTTCCAGTGCCTTCAAAAAGGGATCCCCATCAAAATATTGGCTTCCAAGAAGACCTCCTGGGCCAGTTAAATTCCAAATGAGATCAGCTCGGAAGGTGATGGTGGCTGGTTTTCTAGATCCCTGAGGGTCATCCTGATAGATTTTTCTCAGAGGACACAGAATGATCATGGACGCTTGCTATTAAGGAGCTTAAGGAAATTGAAAGTGGCGTTAGTGAGCAAAAGGCCAGGAATGTTGTCCAAAAGAACGAAACCAAGTTTTCCCATATAACAATGCTCCTGCTCTTTTTATCAGAGTAGTGAGGGCTGACCTTGGGGAATTTCCCTAGGAAAGCTTACTGGGTTTCCCTTACAACCCTTCTTTTGCCCCTTCGACTTCCTTTGGCTTCCAAAACAAAAAGAGGGATTAAACAGGATATGATGTAAGCCCTTCAAGGATGCCCGAATGATGAGTCTTAAGATAATAGCTTCTTGTGGGAAACAGAACCTGGGAGAGAGTGCCTTCTGACAAACTCTCCACGTTCCTGAGTGAAGGAGTCTGGGAGGGTGGGGCTTCCACGGAGGGAATTTTCACCTTTGTGGATTGCAGATGTGTCCCACTCACATTATCCTAAATAAAAATTAATCCCCACAATGTTCCCCCACAACAACGCCAAATTTAATGTGCTGTTTGCAAAGTCATGGGTCCTTACTTTATACCTGGAGGTCCGCTGCTTGGGGGCTGTCTGCCTTGTGGGAAACTAACACTGAGGGCTGTATTCCCTAACTTATTACACCGGGAATCTGGAATGCTGGTATTCCACGGTAGAAAACTCTCCACTTTGGTAAATTAGAGGTAAGGTCCAGGAACATTATCCTGCTTTAAAAATCATCCCCACTGGTTCTACCCTTAACAGCTGTGCTGTCTTATAATGAGCACATGGTTGATTATAACAGATATTATCCCTTTGTTCTCTCTTCCCACCTTGGCACCCAACCTACCTTATACGTCCCTCCAATGCAGTTATTAGAATTCCTTACCTGTGAGGTCAGGGACCCTTCATGTAGAAACTGTCCACCTTGTGACACATGTAACTACTGAACAGCATGTCTTCAGCTTACTTAAAAATGTCCCAAGACTCACTCTCACTTCTCCCAGTTCTCCAATACGCTCAGTTCCACGTGGTCCATCAAGAGAACCTGAGGCGAGTATGCTACCATAAAAGGTGTCCCACTCCTTTACTTTGTTCTCTCATCTATCTTTCTCATCCTCTATGACTTTACTACACTCTATATATCACTGCCTTACCTGTGCACCTTCTGACCCTTTGGTTGTTGAAAGCTGGTTCCCCTGACACTGCCTCAGGTTGTTTGCCAACAAAAGCAAGCAGAACCCATTGTCTGTCCCACCCTAAATAGGGCCCACTCCCTTCTGATAAGGATCATTGATTGTTCCCCTGGACAAGAGCTCAGAGACATCTAAGGTCAAGCCAACTGAGGGACGACCAAGGTTAGGCTGCCATCTGGCCACTGGAGCCCACCATCTTGTTATCATTATATGTCATATGTCTGCCTCTAGGGCCTCCCCCTCCTTTTGTGTGTAACCCCTAGCTAGTCCCACTCATGTTATGTGTATGCCGCTAATATAACCCCTTCCTGTTAGGTATGTGCTTACTGTGGCTTGCAGGCCCAAGATTTTATAAGTTCTTGACAGACGACATTACCCTCTCCCCCACCAAGAGGAGAATTACCCCATGAAATGGTTGTGTGACCCATCAGAAGGTGGAGTGAATTGGGAAAATTATTTGAAGTGAGCATCTGGTAGGAGATTAGCAGATAGATTAACAGTCATCATCATCATCATTAGTATTTTAAAGAGGACAATGGAGCAAAGTGGATGTAAATCTAAAGCTTCCTGTATTATGCTCACCCACCACAAAAAACAGGGTGCAGCAGAAACAAAGGGATGCAAGGATTTTTTACAAGTGGTGAAAAAGTATAATCCATGGTTCCCAGAGGAAGGAACTTTGGATCTAGGGACCTGGGAGAAGGTTGGTGTAACTTCAAGAACGAGCAGAGAGGGGCAGACTTTCCCCCTGGAGACATGGTCTGTGGGCTCAAGTGAAGATGTTTTAGAACCCCTAGAAGAGAAAGAGGACCACCAGTCTAGTGAGAAGTCTTGTGCCGGCTTTCCAAATCTAAGCGCAAAGGAAGGTCTCCTAGAGTGAGAAGGAATGAGGTGAAGAGACTTTGGGAAAAACTGAAGCAGCAGGGACTGATTTGTTATCTAAGGCCTCTGGGGCTAAACAAAACCCCAAGGTCAAAGCCTGTATGCCCTCCAGGTCCTGCAGCCCCAGAAGACCTAAAGCTGGTGAGACATTAGAGGAAGTTAGTTCTAGCTTATGTCAATGACCAGACTTCTTACTTACAAAAATAGGGGAATTCCAAGATCTTAGAGTTTCTTCCCCATGGCCTTCTCTTACCAGCTCTTGAACTAACGTATGTAACTCCTCCCATTTCTCTTTACCAAGGAGCCACTGTTCCACCCATATTGGCTCATTGGACTTCCAAGATAGTTTAATGGGTGCAGGCCTTACAACAGCACTCCTGATGAAAAGATGTGCACTTCCTAATCCATAACAGTTATATTTAGGAGCTATGTTGATTGGAGGAGGATCTCCTCCTGGATTTTTTTTCTGTGACCCCTCCCTTTCTATCCTAATTTCTTTATCATGTTGAAATCAGAGGTAGTGAGCACAACTGCAGGCTCCGTTAAACCTGACTGCCTTTCGGGCCCTGTACACTGCAGGATTTAAGACTCTGCATATGTTTCTCAGGTGAACTTCTCCTGTTCCCTCCATGTTGGAATCAGGAGGCCATTTTGAAAATAGCGGCCGAGCCTGAGGCCATTGTTGATGGCTCATGACTTTAGCGCCAGAATCTAAAAATCCTAAAAAGTTCTCTTCCCCAATCTCTGCACCTGGAGACACTCCTGCTTGGCCACAAAGGTGTCCCCTAAACTAAGCTATGACCTCTGCAGGGGTCAGATTGCACTCAACATCTTCCCCAAGCAGTGTCTGCTTTACCAATAGAAATATAAGAAAGTTAAAGTAGCTGGTCTAAGTGATCTCCCTTTTGTAAAACCCACGGGGTTTCT